CATGCTTTGTCAAAGTTTTATGCTGTGTTATTCAATGGTTTTTACTGCTAACAGTTCAGATTTAACGTTGTTTTGTTTTGGTATATTTAAAAAACTCACTTCATATTGACCTCCTTTATCTAGTTCAAAATGACACAGAATCCAGTTCGCACAGTTCTAACAAATTTGACAGGAAGGATCAGATCAGACCTAGAATGCATAGTTTAGGGGCCATTGGTTATGCATTTATGTTGGATAGCTTTCAGACTTGTCTGTGACATTTTAACTGAAACAGTAAATTTAACTCGGATTGAAGTGCGGGAATCACAAAGTGGATATTCTGAGATTACCAGGGTTACGAATTTGTTTTTTCCAAAAAACAATAATTGTGCAAAAGAAGATACATGAAGATTTTGTATAATGACTTGTATACATGGTCTTATGTAAATAAATATATTTTTGTGGATTCCGCTACACAGGTCTGGTTGTGTGCCATAATGACCAGGTATATTGCACTTTATCTGTGTAAAAATTACTCCAGTCTCTGTTATCCCACCTTATAACACCTTTTTAGGCTGGATCCACCTAAGCAGTGAAAAAGGACACGTGGCAGGTGACCCAAAAGTAAGGTGTTAGATGTAGTGTGCTGAGCTAAATTGCTCAGTACACACGTGAGTGATTGACAGGTGCAGCGGTGGCCCAGGCCTGGAATTTTAAAAAAAAAAAAAAAAAAAAAACTTCCATAATTTAAAAAAAAAAAAATCCCCCTCAAAACCTGGCAATGGCCACAAGAAGGCCCTGTAAACATTGCTGAGACCTCACCCACTGGGCCACACACCATTGGCTTGTTTATCTTAAACCGGTTCCGTGCCACCCTATAGCAGCAATACTGCTACAGGGGGGCACGGGTGCGCAAAATCACACAAAATATATATATAATATATTTTGAGTCCCGGGTTGTGGCGCGCGTGCGCCCTACCCGCGCCGCCATTCTTGGCCTCAGCTGTTACTCACCGGCACCCGATGATCGCCAAGTATCCGACGGGGAAGAGACCTGTGTATAAAAACAACACAGATCTCTCCCTGTCAGCTCCTGGACACTGCTTAGTATGGCTCTACATGGCAGAGCCATACAAAGCAGTGCGTTTACAGTGAAGCGCACACACAGCCAACATAGTGAAACAGCACACAGTTAACCTTTTGATCCCCCCACATGTTAACCCCTTCCTGTCCAGTGCCATTAGTACAGTGTCAGTGCTTTTTTATTAGCACTGATCACTGTATTGGTGTCACCGGGATGTCAGTGACACCAAGTCAGTTCCCCCCAGTGTCAGAATGCCCGCCGCAGTCCCGATATAAGTCACTGATCGCCATCATTACTAGTTTGAAAAAAAAAAAATTCCAGTATCTATATTGCCATTTCTAAAAACTATAACTTCCAAGTAAACCAATTTATTTACATGTATTGGGATTTTTTTTTTTTTTTTTAGCAAAGATGTAGCAGAATACATTTTGGCCTAAATTTATAATGAAATTTGTTTTTTCTAATTTTTTTACTGGACATTTTTAATAGCAAAAAGTCAAAAATATAGTTTTTTTTTTTTTCTCAATTTTTTTTTTTTTTATAGCGCAAAAAGAAAATGCACAGGTGATCAAATACCACCGAAAGAAAGCTTTATTTGTGGGGGAAAAAAGGATGTAAATTTCATTTTGGGTGCAGCGTTGCATGACCCGCGCAATTGTCAGTTAAAGTAACTCAGCCCCATATCGCAAAAAATGGCCTGGTCAGGAAGGGGGTAAATCCTCTGGAGGCAAGTGCAACATTGTTTGTTTGTATTTCTGCTCTTTAGTTTAATAAAGCTGTTTTTTTTAAACGTGAAAACATTGCTGTGACCTGGAGGCTTTGTGTTGTGGCAAAAAAAGTAGAGCATTTGCTTGCAGCAATAATGCCTGCCAATGTGCCCCATAGAAGTGAATGGGGGTTGCAACTGCATCTAATAGACACGTTTTCACACTGAAATCCCTCTTTAAACAGGTATTCAGAAGGCGGAATATTGCCTCCTGATGACCTGCTAACCAAGGGCCAGCCACTGCTATTAAAGCAATACAGTATTACCAATGTGAAAGGGGTTTAAATCTTCCTGGCTACCAGCTTCTCTGGAAAAAAATTTTTTAACTGCAGTTTTTACTCTACTCGTTAACAGCCATCTTCCAAGAAAGCAACCTGAGAAATTATTGGTTCCCCCTCTACAGGATATTCAAGCAAAACAGTGAAAAGACCCTCCTCCCTATCCCCATACCTCCAGTTTAGATTGTGTTTTTTACTCTACTAAGAGTTTATTAACACAATACATTTGGATTCAAAAGTCATCAAATGCACCACATCCCATCTCGGAACCAAAACACAAATTATCATAGAATATTGGGACTTTAAAGGTGCCAACCATCAATAGCAATACAACCTTTTATATCTTATAAAAAGTTATTTTTACAATGTATTGTTCACAAATCAGGAAACCCTCAATCGGATAATAAAATTGAATGCCCCATGGCTATAACAGACAAGAACATGCCTAATTATAAATATCCAGTCCTCCTGTGGGCCAGCAAAACATGACAGGTGTAACACAACCACCCTTCATACATAGCATTGTTCTCTTGGAACCATACATTGTACGTGGCTCAGTTCAACCTGTTTCACAGTTAAGCTGCTTCAGGAATCCAGAGGTACTCTAAAAATTAGGCAAATTTATGTAATTTAGCATTTGAACACAATTTCAGAATTAAAGTATATGTAAACCTTCACTTAGTAAATCAACTCACTTTAACCACATCCCGACTGGTGCACAAAATCACGTGTATATATACGTGATTTTGTATTTCTGGGTAGGGGGCGTGCACGAGCACCCTACCCGCGCCGCTATTCACGGCAGCGGCATTCAATCACCGGGTCCCTGTGGTGATCGAGCTTCTTCGATGGGGAGGAGGACTGCTTTGTTTACAAACAGTCCTCCTCTCTGTCGACTCTGGCTCACTGCTCTGGATGCACAGCCATCCGGAGCATTGTGCTCACAGTGAAGCACCAACACACAGCCCCCCAGTAAAACACTCCCAGCACACAGTTAACCCTCGCCCCTCATGTTAATCCGTTCCTGCCCAGTGCCATTAGTACAGTGTTTTTTTTTTTAAGCACTGATCATTGTCTTGGTGTCACTGGGGATGTCAGTGACACCAAGTCAGTTCCCCCCAGTGTCAGAATGTCCGCCGCAGTCCCGCTGTAAGTCGCTGATTACCGCCATTACTAGTAAAAAAAAAAAAAAAATCCAGTATCCATACCGCCATGTGTAAATGCTATAACTTTCACGTAAACCAATTCATTTGCATGTATTGGGATTTTTTTTTAGCAAAGACATGTCACAGAATACATATTGGCATAAACTTATGACGAAATTTGATTTTTTACATTTTTTTAACTGGACATGTTTTAATAGCAAAAAGTCAAAAAAATATTGTTTTGTTTCTCAAAATTGTTGGTCTTTTTTTTTTAAAGTGCAAAAAATAAGAACCGTACAGGCGATCAAATACCACCGAAAGAAAGCTCAATTCATGGGGAAAAAAAGGACGTACATTTCATTGGAGTGCAGTGTTGCATAATCGCGCAATTGTGAGTTAAAATAACGCAGCGCCATATCGCAAAAAATGGCCTGGTCAGGAATGGGGGTAAATCCTCAGGAGGGCAAGTGGTTAAAATAGAAATGAAAGGTAAAACATTTGTGTACACATAAAAAAAACATTACAAATACCTTTTTTCCCCTTAATAAAGTTATCACTTAAGCTCTGTTTTCAGCTCCACAAGGAGCTCAGGGAAGAGAAAACAGCAGTACACCAATCTTCACAGTGAATAGCTGAGCAGAGGGGGCATGTCAGCACAAGCCTGATTATTAAATTAGCTCCCAGAACACTGACCATGCTGTGCTCTCATGGCTAGTGTGGTCAGTTATAAAAGTAAAGCAGAGAGACTGGCGGGAACACCAGGGATTTCACACAAAGGAAGCAATACAAAGAGAACAGGACGTATTTTCATACAAGTACATGGTACAGCAGGCACATATCATGAATATAAAATGTTGGGATTGCATATTCTTTAAAATTCCTAGATTGTCAAAAGAGAACTGAATCCAGACACAAGCGTTTGTTGTTGCAAATGTAATGAGGATATGGCATGCTTTTCCAAAATCTTTGGAACATATCCAGTGTCGCACATCAAAATTTCCCCAATGTTTTGATTTCAAATTGTATTTCATGAGCTTGATTTGTCCTCGTATCAATAAGATCTTTCAAATCTTTACCATCTGACATTTGTGGAAATGGTCAGGTTTCTGGCAGTAAAATATCCATCTTTTCTGAGTGAAACAACATGCATTATGAATATATGAATGAAACAATATACAATGTTAGATTCTGTGTCATAATGATTTTACAAGCAATACTCTGACAATCAGTTACTTAGTTTACTTAAATGTTTGTTCTGTAATTCTCTCCTTTTGAATAAACAACAAGACTACTGTTTACACAACCACCTACCACCACTGCTCAAGGTACACTGACAGCTGACTGAGTGATAAATCAACACTAAGGGACACAAGCCACTCTGTCGCACCCCCTGAAATTCTATCCAGGGGGAACCTCAGTAACTAAAGCAACAGTCAGCACAGACTTTATCAGTTATTGCCCAACAAACTGTTCAAACTCTATAGGGCTTTGGTTGGATTCTGAACCTTCAAACTTTGGCTTTTCAATCTACTCACTGTTTGGAGTATCTGTGTCTCCTTCTAGATGCTGCCCTATTCAGAGTTTTTGTCAGCAAGCTGCTGACTCTGTGCTCCCAGTTTGGGACTGATTTTTACTTCCTTCGAGGCAGTTCCATATGCCCGATTCTACTATAGACTATTGCTACTCAATATTCTGACTTCATGGGACAGAAACCACAGTCTTTTGGACCTATTGATACACATGACAACCAAGAACAGGTTGACCTGTTGGTTCGGCAATCCAGCCTTGGAGATGGAGAGGAATCCTCCCTTCCATTGGCCTGGTAGACTTTCAACATGGATGCCTGTCTTTCTGGCTGGAGAAAGCCCTGAGCATCCTTTCAATGCAAAGAACCTGAATATCAGGGGGAAGCTCATTTTATGATCAACATTCTTGAGCTTAGAGCAATTTGTTAATCTCTTCAATGCTGGGCCTCTTGACTACAGACTCATTCAAAAGTGATTTAGTTGGACAATGCCGCCATGCTGTAGCCATTGAAGCTTGGGTTCCAAGAGATGGAGACCTATCTGTTTCCATTATTCCTATGCTTCTCATAGCTAGGAAATTCACCTCTCCCAAGGTCTACCATCACACTTAGAAGGAATAGTTCACGTGGGGTGAGACAAAGATATTCCATCCCAAAAAATTATCTGAAGAACGCATGCTAACTTTTCTCCAATCCAGTCTAGATCAGCATTTGGTTTTTGTTTATTAGGGCCAGATCAGGACTTTGGCAATTATTCTTCATAGGCCGTTTACTCTTCCTCCTTGATGTAAGATTTTGAAGAGGGGCGCTGTATACATTATTCTACAGGTATGTCCATTGTGGATCCATGAAATCTCAACCGGGTTCTGTCAAACTTTCAATAACTGCCTTTGGATCCTTTCAGAGATAGGCCTTTCTTTCTATAATTCATTCACAGGGATGCTTTTCCCCTTTTCAACACCTCTTGCAATGCTAATTTTGTGATGGCTGTCTTTTCTTCTTAGGAAACTTTTTTTTTTTTTACTACACAAGACAGGATTGCCTGGGGCTTAGGCTTCTTTTCTGCCTAAGGTAGGTTTCTTTTTTGAGCTTAAGGGCATTGTAATTACTTCACTCTGTCTAGCTTCAGTACTTTTCAAGCTCTCCCTCCACTGTTTGGATGTATAAAAAGTAGTGTAATTTTCTTCTGGCTTCAGCCTGACTGATTCTTTTCATCATGTTTGTAGGTCCCTGTGAGGGACTGGCTACATCTCACTACACCAGTTTTGGGTAGCTTAGGCAGCTCATCATTCAAGCCCATAGGCTTGAGGTGCACTCAACTAGTTCAGTTTATTCCTCTGGGTTTTTTTCAGCATCAGGGTTTTTTTTGCCCCCGAGTGATACCTGTGCTAGTCCCTGTGTATTTTTTTCGCAGGTGGCCTCTTTTAATTTTTTTAAATCCTACATGCCTTGGGAAATGGAGTTCATCCATTCTTTACATTTCTAAATGCTTCATCAGTTATAGATGCTACTAGAAGTTGCATAGGATTTCACCACCTATGTCTTGTTCATTTCCAAGAAGTGCTAGCAGGCCACCAAAGCCACAGTTTCCAAATTGATTAACTATATTCTTTGTTAATTAGAGGATTGCAGGTGCTTCTATCGTAAGAGACATATCCTACTAGATCTTTGCATGGGCAGGAAAGGTAGACATTTCAGTGAAGCAAATCTGCAGAGCAATCTTTTTTTTCTTGGGTTGGGCTTTTTCTAACTCTGTGAAATGGAGGCTCAAATGAAAGAAAAAAAAGTTCTGCAGGCTGTGTTCCCACCATGAGGTAAGCTTGTTTCATTTCTTGTTTCGCTCAGACTGCTGTCGCGGAAGATGATTAGGGAAATTCCCTGTTATACCAGTAATGGTATTTCTAGGTATCTTCTAGGACAGCAAGCCTACTTCCCATTCTTCTATTATTTATGGTTACTTTAAGCTGATGTTTCCCCTTATGCACTAGTGAAGGTAGTTTACTTTCATCTCAACTAAGGATGAAATGGATCGGAGGGGTTTTTCACTGTTCTGTTTGTGTTTCATGTAGAGGGAGGAATCTATTATCTCTCAGGTTGCTGTCCTGGAAGATTCCTTTAAATATTGTTATTGTTAACAGGGAATTTATGTTTAGAAAGCCATAACCATCACAGAGGGCCTGGCCAGTAAAAGTGAAAGAAGAAGTTGACCCAAACTGGATTATTCCATTTCAAGGTGAAGGTGTACAGGGTTGGACCTAACCACAGACTGTCCTTTGGAGACCCTGGAAGGAAGACTTTCACAGCATGACTGAAACATTAGGAAGAAGTTGACCCGAACTGGACTGAAACAGGGTTTAACCACAGGTCCTTTGTGCAGTGTCACTTGCCACAGTGGATTCTTTAGATTTTCCTGTGGCTCTATGTAAGCTTGTCTTGCAAGGTAAAGGTTTACTTTAATTTGCTGTGTGCCTGTGCAGAGGGAGTGGCCTGAACATGGCGCCGGCAGATAGCATGCTATAAGGCTCCAGACCCCAGCCGCTAATACTATGGACAAAAGGCTTTTGTTCCAGTCCTTACCCGGCCTGGCATTGGCAATGCTGTGAGGCGTCGCCCTGGATTTAGCCTGTGTCTGTGTGTCCGGAGCAAGTCGGGATCACTGTGGAGTGGTGAAGGAGAATGCCGGGAGCAGTCACATGATAGCCCATGTGACTGCAGCAGAGGACGCCTGAAGCGCTGGGACCAGTGAATGCCGGTAAGCTGCTGGAGGGAAGTAGACACGAGGAGGCAGCAGTGTGGCAACAATACAGAGGATGACCCCCTCCTTAAACATTATACAGTCAGCTCCATAGATATTGGTACATCGACACAATTCTAACATTTTTGGCTCTATACACCACCACAATGTATTTGAAATGAACAAGATGTGCTTTAACTGCAGACAGTCAGCTTTAATTTGAGGGTATTTACATCCAAATCAGGTGAACCGTGTAGGAATTACAACAGTTTACATATGTTCCTCCCACTTGTTAAGGGACCAAAAGTAATGGGACAGAATAATAATCATAAATCAAACTTTCACTTTTTAATACTTGGTTGCAAATCCTTTGCAGTCAATTACAGCCTGAAGTCTGGAACGCATAGACATCACCAAACGCTGGGTTTCATCCTGGTGATGCTCTGCCAGGCCTCTACTGCAACTGTCTTCAGTTCCTGCTTGTTCTTGGGGCATTTTCCCTTCAGTTTTGTCTTCAGCAAGTGCAATGCATGCTCAATCAGATTCAGCTCAGGTGATTGACTTGGCCATTGCATAACATTCCACTTCTTTCCCTTAAAAAACTCTTTGGTTGCTTTTGCAGTATGCTTTGGGTCATTGTCCATCTGCACCTGTGAAGCGGCGTCCAATGAGTTCTGAAGCATTTGGGTGAATATGAGCAGATAATATTGCCCGAAACACTTCAGAATTCATCTTGCTGCTTTTGTCAGCAGTCACATCATCAATAAATACAAGAGAACCAGTTCCATTGGCAGCCATACATGCCCA